CCCAAATAAAATACTACTCATTTTGTCCGTTCGATTAATATCAACACAACCGGCCAGCAAACCACCATCCACCAGTATCTATTGCACGGCAAGAGAGATTGCAACTGTTGGCTAATCAGCTGATCTACATACGGCATGTAGAAAGAAAGACAGCGCTGAATCTTGCAGGCTGTTTCTCAGAATCACCTTTATTACAACCCCTAAGTGCGACCCCTGGCCTGATGATGCAAATCCAACAGACTTCCGCATGCCCACAGTGGCCCACAGCCACATATTTGGGTCCTCATCACATGGGGCTTTCTGAAGTCAGAGTCCCCCCTGTGGATATGGGGGTTTACGGGAGGTTACAGAGACATTATGGGGGGTTTTATCTGGGGAGCTGTAAACTCCACACTCACACAAAAGCTGGCCGACAGGAGGCGGTAGACTGCACTTGTGGAACCTGTTTGTAACCTGACTTACTCACGGAAGAAGGGGAAATGGCTCCTACATAAACCCTATACAATATATATATATATATATATATTCCCATATTCCCTACTCCCTGCCAATCCTAGGAAGCTGAGAGCCTGGCTATCTTCGCAGCATATCAAGCAACCTCAGCTGGTCATAGGACCCTACCAAAAGGAATTCAATTTATGGAAACTCCCATGCTTGAATCATGCATCCAGCTGTTGTTTCTAACAACAAAAACCCGAGAGCTACCCCTAAACCCTAGACCCTAAACCCTGGACCCTAATCCCTAAACCCTAATCCCTACTCCCTTAACCCTACACCCTAATCCCTAAACCTAGTCCCTTAACCCTAAACCCGAATCCCTCAACCCTTCAAAACGAGTCTCGCTCCAAGGCAGAGCCATGAGCTGTGCTTGGTGCTGCGACACCACAGAAGCGGATTGGAGGTGCCATGGGAAAATGCCCTGGGGGCAGAAAATTGGAACCTCCACGATGTCTACTTGGGGGTTACCCAAAATTAGGGGTACCATTTGGGGGGTTCCCATAACAAGGATTATAGTATTTTTGGGTCTATATTGGGGTCCTCTTATTTTGGGAAACTACCACTTGAGCTTAGGGTAGGTGAGTCTCATCTGGCGCAGATGCGCAACCAGGCTCTTAGCATGTTTGGATGCACTAGAGTTAAGATCCGGCAGGGGCAGAAAGGATAGTCAGGCTTGGTAAGCGCCTTTGCAAAAAGAGATATGCTGAAGCGCCGCTGATCTGTTGCCAGCGCCAGGTATCTGCTCGGTTGGCAGTGTGAAGCTTGACTGGCAAAAAATCTGACAGCCATCAAGTCAGCTTGACCAGCCAGATTAGTGATATAGTAGTTTGCATTTTCTTTTCCATGATCCTAATATATAACCCCAATATATACCCTAATCTAAACTAGTAGTTGCCATTTTCTTTTTCACTATCCCAACATATAAGATCACAGCAGAGAAGATTCGCAAGCAGCAACTGCTTTCATGACAGTCTGCTTCAGGCTCTTCGCGAAGAACGAAAGAATGGATCCCGAAGGTAACCCCATATAACAACATCATTGTAATTTCCATTTTCTCGTCCATTCCATTCATTCCATACAAACAGCCCGTAAGTTCAGTCTTGACAGGAGAGCCGCATCCTGCACCACTTTTTGCAGGCTCAGATTCTGAGACAAGTTGCAGACGAGTCCTATGTGTAGCCAGTCAAACAAGGTCTTGCAAGACACCGCGCTCACTTGAGAAGCCCTTTGTGGTTTTTGAACCTCGTAAGATTGTTCTCTTCCTAAAGGGTATGACCTTACTTTTCATTGGAGACTGCAAAATCCTTGCTTAACATACGAGGTACAGCACATTGCAAACAGAAGCCAAATGCTATTTGGGCCAGCTACCACATGCAGGGTGAAACATTGCAGCGCTGCAGCCACTGAGACTAGTCAAGGCCCTGTGGTCTTCAGGCCTAGAGAATGTGGCTCTTTTTCGAAATAAAAAAACATTGTATATATGTATATATATATACTGTGTGCATATTTGTACATGGTCGATAGATCTATATATATATATATACTCTGCATGTGTATGTATGTATATATATATATATAGCGCAACATTAGCAAGGGTGCGGCAGCCCGCCCCTTCAGGGGCTCCCGAGATTCTTCTGGTGCACCGCGAAAGAAACATGCCTTGCAGTGAGTTTCTCAAAATGTAGGTATCCTTTAGGAGGACCCCCCACCCTGTAATAGTGGTATACTAGGAATATGGGTAGTGTTTTTTTGGTGGTTGAACATAGTAACATTTTATTCCTTACATAAAAATACTATACCTCAAAAATAGAATCTTACTCTATAACGGGTACCATAGTATCCCCAAACAATATACTACTCATATAAGAGGACCCTAATATAATCCTTACTATCCCCTATAGTCACTATTACTGGGTGGGGGGGTCCACCTAAGGTATCCTACTTGGGGATTAGGGTTTAGCGCTAGGCGGGGCTGTAAGGAACTCTCCTGTTCCACAGATCAGCTCACAGGTCTTCTTGGTTGAGAAACCCTCGCAATTACCAGTTTGTTTCACTTCCGGCCGATGCCCTATCCGCGCAATTTAGTGGTGTAAATGGCGTTATTTATCCTGGCTTCTGTGAACTTCACTGTGCTTTTGTAATTTTTCGTCTGCACTACTTCAACCTTTGGACGTGTTCAGTACTGATACGATCACGAAAAACACTACTACGAGTATTTCTAATACTAGTACTGGAAATATTGCTGACAATGTTACTAATAATCTTATAAACAATTTCACGGACAATGATAAATGATAATAACATTAAGCATCGTAGCAACGATAGCAGTAATAACATTCAGTAGTAAGCGCAGTATTATCAGTAATGATAGTGGTAATAGGAGAGTACTGCCGGCAACTGTAGTGATAATAGCCATTATAATCACATAGCAGTGATGATTATGATTATGATTATGATGATGATGATGATGATGATGGCTTTGATGTGGATTTTCCATACTAAACCCTGTGACCTAAGTGCGCCATCTCATGTTTGCTGATGGGGCCATACTTTCCGGCGGGTTCCTTGTGGACCCGCCACGATTTAGGGATTAGGGTTAAGAGTTTAGGGAGATTGGGGTTTTGGGATTAAGGTTTGGGAGGTTCATGGGACTTTATAACTACGTATAACTGAGCTTATCACCCTGCTCATAATCCCCTTAAATGGACTTTTAAGGGGTTATCTCAAGTGAAAGGTCGGGTTGTAAGTCCATTCATCGGTAGTTAGGTACTATGTCCCATGAACATCCAATTTGGGACCCTTAGGATATATGGGGATTATGGGAATCCTTATCAGGGATTCCGTAGGGATATTCTTGAAAGACCGGTCTTCGGGTGACCCCAATTCAGACCCCAAAGTACTGTAATCCGTAGTATAGGGACCCACAAAATTGGTAACCCTAATTTTTTCGGAAGTTTAGGGTTTAGGGTTTAGGGCTTAGGGTTTAGGGTTTAGGGTCCCACAGATGCCTTGCTGAACTTTGAGTGATGTCTCCTGTCACTCGCCTTCCTTCTTCTCCTCCTCACCCTGGCACTGGGGCTCTGAGCAAGGAAGTGCACCGAAACAGCTGTCTGCCATCGACTGACTGTCAATGTGGCATGTAGGAAAGGATCCCCATAGTCTATGATAGGTTTAGGTTCAGGGTTTGGGGTTTAGGGACATTAGTGTTTAGGGTTTAGGGTTTAGGGTTTAGGGACATTAGTATAGTAGCTTCCATGTTCCTTTCCGTTCCTTCCTTCCCAACAAACAACCAGCAAGGGGAGCGCAGGGCCTCTCTGGTCTGTGCCAATCAATCTCGTTCATAAGCATATGGGCTATAGTCTAAACTCCTAGTATCCCCCTTAATAACCCCTATAGTCGTCCCCTATATAATCCCTATATAACCCCCTTTAAGGAGTTTAGACTATGGCTCATATGGGGGTTTCCCAAAACCAGGCATACATTTTTTGGAATCCGTATTACAAAGGTAATCGTTTAGGAGGACCCCTCACCCTGTAATAGTGGTATAGTAGGAGTATAAGAGGACCCTAATACAATCCTTACTATCCCTCAAGGTCACTATTTCTGTTTGGTGGGTCCACCTAAATCATAAATTTTGGCAGTTTATATTGGGGTGCCCTAATTTGGGGAAATCCCTTGAACCCAAACCCTAAACCCTTAAACCCTAAACCTTGGGTACTGCCCCCTCAGTAACAGTTGGACAATACTGATAATATGGGTGTATATATATATAT